GTACACCTACTCCGTCTCAAATGAAAGTCCGCACTTGCTGCGACAGCACAGGAAAGATATGCCAAGCTATACGAGGACGAAATGTGGTATAGGTACGTTCTTTGCCATCCGCATCACGAAATCGGTGTTTTTGCCCATTTGGAGACGTCAATGAGAAATTCAGTCCAAAACCTGGCTCGCCAGGACATGGAAGTTGTTCCCAGACCTTCGGTATTCGGCCTCCGTCGTTGACAAAGAGAATGGATTGAACTATATAGATGTGCTGTTAGGGTCGTCACGCAAGGACAGGCATAATCTGCGACATCAGCGAAGTCCGCTAGTTCAGGCATGGACGCACCCATAACAAGTACGTGTACAGAAGTAAAAATGAAGAACGAAAATGGGTGACAAGGACGTCGAGGAATTCACAACGTAGCTCGAATCCGATGACGAAGCAGCATGGAAAATTACGTTCAGTGCGATTCGAAACCACAGAAGTTATAGCCCAAAGCAACAGAACAAACCTTATGGGGTAGAGACGAAGCTTGTAAAAAGGCAACTCCATATAGGTCAAGTTATTTTCAACAATAAAACGGACAGGAAGCAGCTTGCGCAAGAGCCTTACACTATGTTTTCAAAAGAAATACCCACTGAGCAATTTTAAAGTACGGTGGGCATCCCGAAAAGAAATTCAGACGCCGACCTGGGCGTCCCTCCAAAGAATACTTTTAAAAGGCAAAATAAGGTCCGTAGGCTATGTACATGTGAAATTAATGCACAAACGGTGGTATCACGACTGTGCAGTCCTGTAATCACAGTCCTGTGGAGGGTTTATTTGGTTAGGACCGGAAAGCGACTGTTCAACGTTTAAAACGTGGAGGTGCGAGAAGAATAAACTAACTTCTTATCTTTGAAAAATCCCTTCAAGATGGTAACTTGGGCAAAAACAGTGAGAACAATGAGGATGGATACAACTCCGCTCCATAGTGTTATGTGGTCCATGAGGTCGACAACAAACAGACGATCTGACATTTTTTTCGCACGAAGTTCTGTCTGATAATCTTCAGCTACAGATAAATGCTCGTGAATATTCTCTGTGAGAGCCTGCAGAGCAGTTTGGGGGCCGGGATTTGGGGCAGGTAAACCGGCTTCTTCGTTTAGAGAGTCCTGAGAACGAAGCTCGAATAATACAACCTTGTGCGACACAGAGGAAAATTGATTTCCGAAGCAGAAGGAAAAACTTCCGGATTTGCTTGCCGAAAACTTTATGTTTTCATGAGTACTTTTAGACTTCTCGGCAATTTTAACTTTATCTGGATCACTGATGACAAGATCAACATCGTTCAAACCGCCACTGAGGACTTGAAACATTAATTCGTATGATTCCGCCTTCTCTAAGTCCTCATAAAAGCAAAATGTTTCCTTGTCAGGGAGTTCAAAAGTCAACCGCTGAGGGAAACAATTTACGTTGCCGACAAGCACTGAAGCAAACAAAGAAGACAGTAGGTAAAGGGAAAACATTTCAGGGGGAAACGTGTCAACACTGGGTTGCCGGCTCTTACACCAAGATCTTTAATTTCAATTATAGTTTTGGACTGAGTTTCCTAAAACCTGTTTTTGAGGTACCCGGTTTGGAGCTAGCAGCTCCTAAGTCATCTAATTTTGTCTTACGATATTAAGTTGCTTTAAGATTGCCTAAAATAATTTATAGAAAGGTTGACGACTGTGATAGAATTGCAACTGTGCAGGACGATGGAGGGAATCTCTTGATCGAGAAGTTGTTAATGCCCAAGTTAAATAAACTGAATACCATGGCCAAATGAAACGTCTCAACTGACCAATTGGATAATTTTCTTCTGAGAATAGAGAAGGATTTGCAAACATTCGTTATAATTATCGGTCTTGAGGTTGGCGTCTACAGTGTCTGTGATGCAGCCAAAATAACTTCAACCCTGACTCCAGCAAAGATACGACGACATACTTTGCAGGAATGTGTTGTTCATTAATGTTTTAAGTTTTCTGATTAGAGATCGTCTCTTCTCCCTTCTTACTGGTTGTAACCATTGTTCTCTCTCCTCTGCACTTCTTCGGTTCGATTGAATACCCTTCATTCAGTGTCTTTTCATTGATATGCAAACGAATTGAAAGATCTTATTCCTCCCACA